CCTAAAGTCATCCAGTCTTGAAGAGTAAAGTGGAAACTGTAATGAAATAAGAGACAGGCTTTTTGTTTCAGAAAAAGCAAGAAGGGGGGGGGGGGGACTCACTAGAAAAGCAAGAAAAAATTCAAGAAATAAAGGGAGTCATATTTGCACAGAGTTAGTCATTGTTATTTTTGAAGCTTTGTCTCCTCAATGCCTTTTTCCATAACCTCAATTCACCTTGTATTTCTAGAGCCCCTCCATTGAGATTTGAATGCAGGTCTTTCAAAAAGTGACAGTGACAGTTACTTGACAATTACTGTATATGCCCAAAGAGGAGATAAGGTTATTTTATCTCAGAAAGTTACCCCTCTTAAAGGAGGAAGTGGCCCAAATTTTCACATCCTTATTGTCTTTCCTAATGCACCTTGAATGACAAGTTTCTACTTGGGTCAGACACATGAGCTGGAACACACGCACACATATACATGTTATCATCGTTGGTTGAGACCCCCAGAATCTACCAGGCACTAAGTCCATTGTTTGCATTAACTTCTTTAATCCTCACGACAACCCTATCAATCATGTACTATTATTATCATCCCCATTATCATAGGAGGAAACTGTTAGTCTTAGATTCTTATAGAAGTCACCTGGTAGAACTCATCTTTTAAGAGGCAACAAGAGAAAAATCACGTAAGATTTAAAATGTATTGTACAATTAAGGTAAATTATATTTAAAGTAAACATTTGACATCTATGCCTATAAAAGTTTATGTAGTCGAGTCAGCCTAAATTGCAGTCTTCTTTTTTAGATTGTCCAACTGGGAAGATAAAGTACGACCTTATAATTGGGGTTATTTTCTTTCTTTCTTTTTTTTTTATTGACATATAGCCAGTTACAAAGGTCAATTTCTGGTGTACAGCATAATGTCCCAGTTATGCATATATATACATATGTTCATTTTTATATCTTTTTCATTAAAAGTTATTACAAGATATTGTTTTGGTCAACTAATCTTTGACAAAGGAGGCAAGAACATGCAATAGAATAAAAACAGTCTCTTCAGCAAATGGTGTT